TTTTAAGAGAATAACCTTGTTGGTTTTCTGGTGTAACTGCTAGTTCTGTCAGAAGTTTTTGAGCAGTCTCATCATCACTGTATCCTTCCTGAAGCCTTTAAATCCAACTAGGTGTACCCTCAGAGATGGCATTGACTGAGTTTGGCCATTCACATCTTGATAGGGCATCTGCTACATTATTATTAATGCCCTTTTTGTACTGAATGCATTACTGGAGGTCCATGAGTCTCATGAGGGTTTTATGCTGTAGTCTAATGGACACTCTCTGTTCAGTTAGATGTTGTAAGCTCTGATGATCTGTTCTGATGATGATGTTTGATGCTGAATATAAGACCTCCACTTTTCAATTGCTAGAAGAATAGCAAGGCACTCTTTCTCATATATAGACAAAGCTCTATTTCTAGGCCCCAATGCTTTGCTCAGATAGGCTACTGGATGTTGCTCTTGCATTAACATAGCTCCCACTCCATTCTCACTAGCATCAGTCTCAATGATAAACTATTTGCTAAAGTCAGGTACTGCTAGTACTAGTGCCTCACTCAGAGCCTTCTTTAATAACTAAAAAGCTTCCTCAGCTAATGATGTCCAAATGAAAGGTACATTCTTCTTTAATAACTCAGTCAGTGGTATGCTGATCATTCCATACTGGTGAATGAATTTTCCATAGTAGCCAGTTAATCCCAAAAAGCCTCTGAGTTGCTTGACTGTTCTGGGACTAGGCCAACTGGTCAATGCTTGCACTTTAGCTGGGTCTGTGGCCACACCATCAGCAAAAAATCACATGGCCCAAGTAATCCATAGAATTCTGAGCAAAAGAGCATTTGGATTTCTTGATCAAGAATTTATTATCTTCTAGAATCTTGAACACTTGCTGCAGTAAGGCTACATGCCGCTCCAGAGTTGGTGAGTAAACCAAAATATCGTTCATGAACACCAGAACTCCTTTTCTCAATAGATATGCAAATATTATATTCATGAAGCTTTAGAAAGTAGCTGGTGCATTTGTCAATCCAAATGGCATGACTAAGAACTCAAATAGACCATGATGGGTTTTGAATGCAGTCCTATATTCTTCTCCAGCAGCCATGCATATTTGGTGGTACCCTGATCTAAAATCCAGCTTGGTAAACCACTTAGAGCCAGCCAGTTCATCTAGGAGTTCATCCACCACTAGCATTGGGTGCTTATGCTTCACTGTTATGGCATTAAGATGTCTGTAGTCAATACAAAATCACCAAGTGCCATCCTTCTTTCTCACCAACAGCACAGGTGAAGCAAATGAGCTTGTACTGGGCCTGATGACACCCTGAGCTAACATCTCCTTTAACTGTTTCTCAATCTTAGTCTTTTGAATAGGAGAACATCTATATGGTCTCACTTTTACTGGCTGAGCCCCAGGCACTAGAGGAATTGTATGATCTGCACTTCTAGCTGGAGGAAGGCCTGTAGGTTCAGCAAATAAGTGATTGTACTGCTGCAACAATTCTTCTACTTCTGTTGACAGCATCTCATTATGAGCAGAAGCAGTTATTTCTTCTAGTGTTGCAACTGACTGCATAGATGGCACTATCATCTGAATGCAATGTGAAACAGTCCCATGCCTGAGTAAGCCTTTGAGTTTTGGTGCACTGATCTGAGTGCATTTGGTTTGATCATCCAACACACCTGGCAGCTCAATGATCTTGCCTTCAACTATACATTTCATTTTCTTAGTCTTGTAGTCAATCCACATCGGACTACAGTCTTCAAGGCAATCTTCCCCCACAATGAGGTCATAGCACTTGAGGGATAACACTTTTGCTTCAGAACAAAATTGTTGACCCTAAATGCACTATTTGAGATTGGGAACTATTTGATCACACAACATGAGACCTCCATCGGCTGCTCGAAATGTACTAGACTGACAAGCTATTGTGGGTATCTTCAGATGTTGCACCAATTGTGTGCAGACAAATATCCCAACACTGCCTGAATCTACCAGCACTAACATATTATGCTTGCCAATCTTTGCCAATAACTTCATTGTATGCTTCTGGCGAGTCTTGGCCACTGGAACTGACTGAAGTGTCATTACTTCTTGCTCTTCTGTCACAACTTCCACCTCACTATCATCCCTTCCTGATACCCTGAAATCTCCATAGCCTCTAGAATTTCTTCTAACACATGTAGAGAAATATGAGGAGGGCACTTATGATTTGGACTCCACTTCTCGCCACATTTGAAGCACAAGCCATTATGGCGGCGAAATGCTTTCAACGTTGACAATTTGTCTTCAGTGTCTTACGCCTGACCCTTGGGTGGATGTTTCCCGTTGTCAAATGTCTTCGGCTTGTCTGCGGACTGAAGGTGCTTGGCGAATCCTCTGGTGATATCCTGCCTAGAGGATTTTGAACGTGCCACTTCCAACTCCTGTTCTTGGATCAATGCCAAAGTACTAGCAGTATCCACATCACGCGGCCGATGAAGCAACAAAGGCACATGGATCTCATCTCGAAGACCGCTCACAAATTGAGTCACGAAAAACATGTCACCGGAAGCAGGATTGTAGAGCACAATACCATGAGCAAGTTTCTCGAAGGCAGTCTGATACTCCAGAATTGATGCTGTCTGCTTCAAGGCATCCAACCCGCGCAAGAGAATCTGGTACTGATCCTTGTCGTATTTTGCCATCACCAGTTCGCACAACTTGTTCCAATCACCAATCCTCCCATGTCGTTCCATTGTCTGCAACCAGGTCGCAGCGACCCCTTTGAAATTGAGCGTCGCGAAGCGAGTCTTCAGCGCCTCTTAGACCACGTACACCTCGAAGTAGCGCTCGCAATTATCCCGCCAAAGACGAGGGTTAGTGCCATCAAATTTGGGGAATTCAATTTTAGGAAATGGGGGAATATGTGGGGAAATTTATTCAGAAGGATGAACTGGCAGAGCAAAGCCCGCGGGCGTACCGTGGACGTTGCGAGGTGGAGGCATTCTGAGAATGCCTCCGCCCACGCCGTGCCCCATGGGCGAGTCAGCGTGCAGTGGCGGCGTACTGGACGAAGCCCCGGACGCGACATTGATGTCGATCCCCGCCGCTGGTGGATGCCGGGGTGGAGGCGGGTGGGGAAACTGCCACTGGACCGGAGGCGGTGGAGGTGGTCGGAACTCCACGCTCTTGATCCGCGCCGCTGCCTCGTCGATCCGCGTCCTCGTCTCCTTGGAGCGTTGAAGCAGCGTGCCCATCGACCCCTCGGTGGTGACCCGCCATGCTTCAAGCGCGCTCAGCTTGTCGAGGGACGTCGCCATCATATCCTGGAAGCCCTTGAACTAGGTCGCCATGGACTCCGTGATCGCCTGCAACGAGTCGACGGAGGCGGCCATCTCCAACTGATACTTCGGTGGATTCCGCTTCTTCGGCACCAGGTTAAGGGAAAAAAAATTCTCCTGCAAAACCAAGCTCCGATACCAAATTGTTATGGGAATCGATAACTAGAGGGGAATTTTGATTGGGAATAGCAGGCATTTGGGTAGAATAGTAAGAACAGAGTCTGAGGTGGGAAGAGCACGGCTAGAATCCGTGGGCGAGGACGGCGACGAATGCCGTTTGCAATTAGGAAATGATTCTGTTCTTTCGTACAACAGACGCTGCGCCGGCCAGATTATATCCTGCTGGAAACGGCAACGGGCTACACCGACTCAGCCCACCACTCTATTAGTACCGGCCCAAGGCCCATTACATGACAGGCTGCTACATATTTTAAAAAAAAATGTTTTCTGAAATCTCTTAATATTAGGCAAGATTTCTGTCTTTTGGTTCAGTCTCTTTCCTTGGGTAATGGGCATTGATATGTACACCTGTTCCACTGAGCTCGACACGCCAACTAACTTCCACTTACAGCTGAAATTGAACTGATAGGAACTTGTTTGCAATCAGGATTCGGAGACGTGGGAGGGAAACAAGGAACGCGCTCACATGGAGAACCAGCAGTGACCAGTGATGAGTGAACCAGCTGAAATGAACTGATAGAAACTTGTTTGCAATCACTCCTCCAAGGAAGAAAATCCATCCACTCAGGTTTTATTTGGATGTACTCATATCCATCTTAATCCACACGTGTTGAAGTGGATTGAGGTACATCAAACAAGCACTCGACTATTTTCTTTCTTAACGTAAGGGCATGAGGAGAGAAGGTTTAGTTACACCGGCGGATCCTTGCCAGGCTACATAAGTAAAGTTTATAGTGCAGAAGCAGAAATTCAGACATATGGGCCAGTGGAAGATAACCTGATGTGTGCTACTTTTATTTGCTGCTCAGTGCCAAAACGCCATATGGGCTTCAGATCAGTGGAAGATAGGCCCAGCTAAAATGAGCCCAGCACAGCTTCTGTTTGTGCAGCTGCGCTCATCAGTGCTTAGGCTAAACTACAGCTTTATCTGTTATAAATTGTAAGTTGTTTTAAACTTTTCAATTACATGGGTTTTACTTGACACTCGAAGATAGCGAATATTTAATTAGAGAGTGAAAACAACTTAGAATTTAGAACGGAGAGAATACACCCCAAAGAATTTGAAAACATGGTAGTATTAGTACTTTAGTAGGAGTATCAACGATTCTGGACCACCAGGTTTTTTTTTTACCCTCAACAAGCTGCTTTATTACTCGGTTTGGTGTGGAATCACGAACCAGCCGATCAAGTACAAACTGAGGGAGGGGAGCAGCCAACACAATCAAGCAAAGAAGAGCATGAGCACACATGCATTACAAGTCCGCGGACTAAAAGAACATCCAACATGTAAAAACTCCTGCTGCATGTCATCTTCAGGGCTGTATTTCTCAAATATATGAGCTACCTGACAACAACTTAGTACTAGTAAAAGGCCATCGCCTATTCGCAGCCCTGAATCACCAACAGTGGACATCATCATGTGACCAGGTAAAGCGGGCCAAATGCCTCTGCGGTGGACTGCACGGATAGTCACCTTGTCGAGCTGCACGTAAGGGAGGTCAAGCTCATCATCCTCATGAGCGCCAGTCAATGGCGCGAGACACACTGCTGCTGCTCGCCTGATCGCGCTGCCCAATTTTCCCCATTCTCTGACTAACATGTAGCATCTCCCTGCGGGTGCGGGTGCGGGTGCGGAAGCGGAGGAACGCTCGGCGCGTCCTCTGGCTCGGGGAAGCTTCAGCTTCAGCCGCCTTGTTCTCAGACCTCAGGCGCCTCCTTTTCGAGTTCCCTTCTACAGCAGGTATCTGCTGAACGCCTCCAGCATCGTACAGCCGTTGTTGCTTTGCTTCGCCGTCAGTGCACTGACATAGGAAGAATATTAATGCCATGAGAAATCGCTGCAACTTTGAATCGCTGTTTGTTTGAAATCGAAACAGCTCGTCACCTGGCGGCAACAGAGATGCTGAGCATAGGTATCCCCGTGACAATCGCAGTTCCTCTCCATCGTCTGCAAGACTGCAACCATCAGAAGGTCCTCGCCGACCAGCGCCCAACCAAGCTGCAGGAAAACAGCATGGAGAATGTAAGCCACGATCCAAACAAGAAAACAAAGGACAAGAAAGCAAGCAGTTATTTGCCATCGCGATATGAGAGTCATGACTCGCGAGGTACTCCGTACGTACGACAAGGCATCAGCGGCCTTACCTGAAACAAGCGGTGGATGAGTACAGTGCTCGCAGCAGCGGCAGTATTAAAGCCACCTGAAGCTATTTTGTTGTGAGAGAAAAATAATATTATAGGGCTGAAGTTCGAGCGGACATGCAGCGCCGGAGCAAACGATGGCCGAACCGCCGGAGCCGTTGCGTTTTCAGAAATTCGGCAGACCGTTGGGCATTTAAGGACGGTGCTTGAAGGCCTGCAGGCTGCAGCAGGAGAGGAGAGGCTACCTCCTGCACTCTACTCCTAGCTTGTTTCTGAAGTTTTACCGGCCATGATTTGTGGCGTGTAACACGGGATCGGTTTGACATGATTGTGGCAAAGCACGGGTGTTGAGCCTTTATGTTTACACCGTACCTGTGCATCGATTAAGAGCTCTGCTGCGTGCTCTGCGCTTTGTTTACCTTTACAAAACCTCGGCCTTGTTTAGATGACATCCAAGTTCTAAGTTTTTTTACTCTCTCTCTATCACATTAATTTTTGGACGCATGCATAGAGCATTAAATATAGATAAAAAAAGTAACTAATTGTACAGTTTAGTTGTAAATCACGAGATGAATCTTTTGAGCCTAGTTAGTCCATGATCGGACAAAGTTTGTCAAATACAAATAAAACGTGCTACAGTGTTCAGATTACAAAAATTTACAATCTAAACAAGGCCATCGTATTGCCCTGCTGATTTTTACTCCGAGTCTGACCGGAACTTTCAGTTTATTTTCGTGTGTAGACCATGTGTCTGCTGCATGTGCTTACTGAAGACGTCGCTGTCACGATACCTGCGGTCCTAGGATAACTGATATGGTTCCGTTCGTGTCTTCGGGGGTGATGGCAGATTTTCAAGGTGCCGTGAGTTTTTTTTTTTTGTCTGTCTAGCTAACAACTAGTTGATTTAGCCTTTTCCTTCAACTGAATTTTTTCTATGCACTTACACCATCTTATAGCTATATTTACACCGACTTATTACTATATTTATAATTATTTCTTCAGTGTAATTTATTGGACAGAGTGATGTAATTTGGGAATAGCATAAATATATGCCAATTTTTTCAAAAAAAATACAAATTATTTTTTATGGATTCCGGACACCAAAGAAATATATGTCAAATTATTCACAAATTCTTCACAAAATTCAAAAAAATATACAAAATCGACACAAAACTGCTGCAACCGGAAGGGGCGGCACTGGGGACGCCCGTGCACACGCGTCCCCAGGCAAAACGAAACGGCACCAGCCTCTCACGCAGAAAGAAACGGAGGGAGCAACGCCTCTGCTCCACTCTTGGTCAACCGACACGGGCCCCCACGAGCAGTCCCTCTCTCCTTTGCTCACGTACACGCTGCACTACTCGGTGGTGGACACGCAGCCTTGGCGAGCAGGCTGCCTACGTGGCTCCCTCGAGAGAAGCCGTGGGGAACGGCGGGGGCGACCACGAGGCCGAAGTTATCCGATTGGTTCTCTATCGACGGCTGAGGGAGGACGGGCGAGGAGGATCGAACACCATCCGATGGCAAAAAAACGGTTGAGAGATATCCCTAAATCAATCGGTTGACCATTAGCATTTCTCTTTTTTTTTCCTTGTTCATGACTTCATGTATGTAATCTTGGAGGGTGAAAGTGACAAAGATAATTCTCTGATCCCATCAAAGTTCGAATTTCAAAGTTACCGAGAAGAATTTTTAATATCCGTTTGATAAAGAGTTGGATTTTGATAAGGTTTTATGGTACCAAACTGTTACCAAAATCCAACCAAATTCTTTACCTACTATTATCTCAGTGTTTATTCAGATTTTATGATGCTATAAGCAATATGGCATCTAGAAAGAGTAAATTATAGTTCTGCTCTAAGTCAAATCGTCTGAAGTTTAATCAATTTATAAAAAATATCAATATTTATGATACCAAACAAGTATCATTAATATAATTTCATAGTTTACTTATCTGTTGCTATTAATCTTAATACTTTTCTATAAAATTGGTGCGACTTAATAAGAGAATTATGACAAAACTATATTTTTTTTGAAGTCTGGGATAGTACCCAAAAAAAGAACATGTTTAGTTGAAAGATCGCATCCTCAATATCTTGCTAGGGAGAATAGTGTTGCAGCCACTTTGCGGAGGCCCAAGCACCAAGCGAGTTACCTAGCGTGAAAAGTCCCTTTTGCCTAAGTATTGTGATTTCTCTTCTCGAACTTTAAAACCGCTTTATTATTTCACTACTGAGTTAGAAATGGTTTTCAAGGCGGTCTCATCTTTTATAGTTAAAAAATAATAAGTACATACTATGGTTTTTAAACCATGAAAAGTGTCTTTAAACTTTACAAATTTTCGAGAAAAAATATAGAGATACTTTGGGACACAAAATCCCCTAATAAAATATTTAGATCTCAATAAAATGTCTCTAGAAACTTACAAATTTATATTTGTCTCTAAGAAATTGAAAAAAAATCCAAAATTATAGAATATTATCAAAACGTTGTAATTGATGTATAAATCATAAATGAATGCTACAAAGATGCAACCATCATGAATGCAGTGCCACTTACTTGTCTGGGCTCCGAGCTTTGTGGCAACTTGCTCGGTAGTGCCCCCCCCCCCCCCCACCCCCCCCCCCAAAAAAAAACTTGCTTGGTAGTGCTAGACTTGCTGATCACCACGCAGTGGTGCTCTATTTTTGCGGGATCAGAACACTAGCCTTTGGGAAACAATTCTTTGAAATTTTTTTAGAAAGAGATCCTTGAGCTCCCAAACAATTCTCGTTCATGTAACTTAGTCGCTCATAGTTTGACTAGTTTAGAGTCTAGTCTTGGTCCAGGCTTGGTCATGGTTAGGGATGATGTCCCTGCTTGTATTCAAGTTTTGGTCACCAAGGATTTGGCACCAGTTGATGAGTAATGGAGATCACTTCCATGTTAAAAAAAAAAGAACACTAGCCTTTGCCATGCTTGGCGATGAGCACTGGGTGTCGGCCAAATTTGTTAAATTGCCCATTCCCACATTTTCATTTGTAGGCCATTTGTATGGCGTCACTATCACGCTGGTGGAGACTAGAGAAAGCCTACTGTGACGGCTGGTGGTGGCCCCTAAGCTGGCTAAGCCGCTAAGGCCTCATTTGGGACCGCGATTTCCCACCGCGTGGTGCAGTAGACGAGTGGCAGTGAGCGAGCCGCGATATGTAAAGTCGGGTTCACAGTTCATTTTCAAGGTGGTTGAGTCGGACGTGGTGAGAAAATCAAGCGTGTCGCACAGGGTTTGGTGAGATTGTGGACTTTCTTCGACTGCCACCGCGACATACGTGGTCCCAAATAGGGTGGCCTAAGCCGTTTTTCAAGATGATGGACACAGTGCGCACCTAGTGGGGAATGGTGGGGAAAGATATCCAAATGATGGTTGCAATGACCAATGGGGGTTTCCAAGCCACCCATCCTATGCAGAACCCGACTCCATACATATAGAACATGCTCCTTTAAATTAAATAAACACAAAAATTTCTCTCCCACCTCCCCCCCCCTACTCAATGTGTAGTGTGCTGGACCCATCACTCCTTGATCATGGTGGGGAGGGAGAAGGTGGCCAAGGTTGGCCCCAAGTACACAGTGAAGTGAGTTCGCCCTAGGTGCAAGGCTTGCCGAGATCAACCCCTGGGTGTAGAGGAGAGGGGAGGAGCCATAGGGGCATTGGCCAACGGGGCGTTGGAGGAGTTGTGGGGCGCCGGTGGGGAGAAAGGGGTGTGACCTAGGCGATCTCGCCTCTGGACGCGCGAGTCAGGTGATCCCGGCCCCCGGCGCGGAGGAGCTATAGGGCGCAAGAGTGGAGGAGCTAAAAGTTGGAATGACTTATAATTTAGAATGGAGGGAGTAATTAATAAATATAGTTAGTGTTTTGTTTGTTTATTCTCCCTCCGCATTTATCTCAACGACATCTATTTTATTTAGGATTATTCTTCCTTTTATCTTCTTGTCTCATCCAAGAATTAGATTGACCAGGTGGAGGTTAGACACCAAGCTGTAATTAAATTTTGTTCACATTTTGTTCGTAATATTTAGTAGTTTGGTTTTTACCCTTCTTTTGTATTGTAAAATAAATGTTTATTTAGTTCTTATCTATGCTCTCAGTTGTATATATATTTGTATTATGATTGTAATTAGCTTCAACAGCCCCACTATGCTCAAATCCTAGCTCCGCCTCTACTCGTCCCTGAGCCGACTTGAACCGATCTCGCCCCTTCTTCCTTGCATCCCGGGCTAGCCGCAACCGTTGTTGGAGCTTGCGGACGCACAAGGCAGGCTGAGTGGAGCAGGTGAGGCGGGAAGTAGGCGGCGACGACGTGGTCGCCAACGTGGCACCTAGGCGGCTTCCTCTCCCCCAAGCCGGCCATCATCAACTCTCAGCAGCAACAACCCGGAAGCTGGAGCCCAATCTGCATTCTTCTCCCTCATTCCCGCCCTCGCCTTCTTAGGCCCTCGCTAGTCGCCACGAGTCCGCCCCGCACTTGGCCTAGCTCCCTCCGGCCAGCTGACCAGGAGCAGGTGTGGCCTCACCCCTGATTGAATCTTTTTAAATGAGTTTGATTACGAATTACCACCGATAAGATTCATGTCTATTTTTTTATTTTTATAAATCTATCTAATTTTGTTACTACAACTTTTGTTGCCCGCAGCAACATACTGACTTGGACAAATTTCATAGGGAGTACAAATTTTACGTGTCCGTACGTAACGACGCATGGGCCGGGCCAATACACAGCAATACCTGGTCCATAAATTTGGATTCAACGACTAAAATTTAGTAGATGTCACATCGGGTATTTAGGTACTAATTAGAAAGACTAAACATGAGTCTAATTAGGCTTAATATATTCATCTCGTAAATTAGTCTCAATCTGTGCAATTGGTTTTGTAATTAGTCTACTTTTAATACTCCATGCATGTATCAAACATTCAAAGTGACAGGGACTAAATTTTAGTAGGTAAAACCAAACACCCCCTAAGCATAGCGATTCTCTTCTCCGGCTAGCTCCGTCACCACAATCACAATGGCACACGATATTTCTTGTATAACTAACAAGAAGATGATAATATATGCTACAACACCCACACTTGAAGCGCTGCGTTTCGTGAGAAAGTGATGTATGTTGACTCTGCACTACCGTTGTTATTATTGTAATGGACAGGACGTTTTGTCATCTAGATCGGTGAAGACAACACCCACACTTGTCATCACTATGATGGGTTTGTTATCTTCCATTGTTAACATGTACCAGTACATACGGAGTATGCGTGGCACCAAGAAGACCATGAGTAATAATGGGAGTAATTAGTGAACCGGATCCCTTCCTAGTGCTGAGCAACAACACCGAAGTACTATTTGTGAATTTATTTTTGTTCTCGTTTGAAGATTGACAAAACCGATCGAGTTGATTGGTGGTGCACGATCGAGCTAGAGGCCCGCACGGGCGAATCCACCTCGTCGTCGCCGACGTGTCTCGGAAAAAGGAATAAGGCGTCGCTTGCAAACACTGCACGTGCTGCACGAAGAGCTAGCTGCTGCTGCGATGCGCCCGATGTTCATAGGAGGCCGCGCGGCCGCCATGGAGAGAGCCATCGAGGACGAGGACGAGGAGCATCGCATCGGATGCACGTCTGCAGGCGCAGGCCCCTTGCGCGCCTCCCACTATCCCATGCATATATGTGTTGCCGCCTTTCTCGTTGCGTCCATACCATACCATACGCACGCGTTCTCCCTCGGCGGTAGGCCAAGCCAACTCTAAATTATATCCTCCCTAGCTACTACTAGGCCAGTAGGCCGATCCAACTCTAACGCGCGCCTCACATGGCGTATACAGCTCAGGCTCTCAGTAGAAATTAAGCACACTTGGGCCGTTTCGCTCAGTCGATCGACAGCAACCGCTCCATAATTCAAATAGGAGTATAATCCACGCTCCCCTCAAAAAAAAAAAAAACCCACGCTTTTCCGTGTGGCTGCGATTGTTACCGTGCGTGGCATTGACGCTGACAAAGTTATCGCAATCGAAAATCCGTATATATATGTGGCGACCACACGGACAACAGCACCACAAATACTGCGGGCCAGGCCGGGCCCCAGCCCAATCGCGTGATAAATCGCACGCTGTGAAATTCAGAACAACATGCCCGCGCCATCCATGCGTGGCATGTGCGGGATTCCTTGCAACAAAACAAACATTTCTTTCTCGGTCAGGACGGGAGCCTTTTCGCGGCCCCGGCCAACTAAAGTAAACTGTGTCCACAAGAACTTATAAAACGTGTATGCCCACGTATAATTGATGCGATATATGAGCGCAGCGCACCCCCGGCAGAAGCTCAAGCACCTCACGAGTGGACATTGCTTGCCTTCGTTTCCTCTTGCAATATCTTCTCTATCTCAGTCGCTCCTAGTACAAGCAGAGAGAGTCAGAGACCGCTAAAAGCAAGAGAGAGATATTTGCATCTCGCATAGAATGATCCCAAGAGCGCCAAGTCTCTTCCACCTCGAGGAGGGAGTGGGTGCCTCGACCTCGATGCCAGCAGCAATGGCGGCCTCCGGCGGCGAGCTGCTCGTCGGGCTCCGGCTCATCATCCAGCCGTCGCCGAGGAAGCAGCTGCCCACAGTCCTGAGGAAGTCCGCGGTGAGGATTCCGCCGGCGTCGACGTCGACGAGCGCAGCCAAGTGCCACGACAACGGCGGCCGGGTGTTTGCGGGACTCGAGTTCTTGAAGCGCTGCTCCTGCTGCCACAAGGACCTGGACGCCACCATGGACGTCTTCGTGTACAAGTAAGTAAGATCGATATATAGAACTCTCTTAAACCGGCTTCTTCACTACTGCCGCGTGCTGCAATCTGCCGGCAATCAGTTACTCATGTGGGGACTTGTTTAGATTCCAAGTTTTTTACTCTCTCGATCACATCAAATCTTTAGACATATGCATGGAAGTATTAAATATAGATAAAAAAATAACTAATTACATAGTTTGATTGTAAATTACGAGACGAATTTTTTGAGCCTAATAGGCCATGATTGGACAATAATTATCAAATACAAATGAAAGTGCTACAGTGTCAAATACTGATTCCTAACCGCGAACTAAACAAAGACCTGGGTTTCATTCTGTCTGCAGAGGAGAGCAAGGCTTTTGCTGCGCCGAATGCCGGTGCCGCCACATAGCCAAAGAGGAGCGGCGGGAGATGGAGATGCTAGTCAGGAAGCGCCGCGATGCGTTCCACAGACGGCACGCAGCGGCGCCCAAGATGCAGGGATCAAATCGGCACATCACACTGCTGCAAACCGCTGCACAATAATAGTACGGTGTAATTTTTGTTGCCTCTTCGCTTATACACCACATATTAGGAGGGCCTCGATCTGTATGGACTGAAGAAGACTGGCAGCCTGTCACTGACTCCCTGTGTGCAACGCGTAGCTCATGGATATTTGATATTTCAAGTAGTACATGACCAACCAAATGATGCAATCAGCTATGAGAGCAGTATTAGCGACGAACAGAACTTGAATTCACAAGTGAAAGCTCGTCAATCTGTTGGCGCAAACGTGATCACACACTAAAACACTAGAACACCAATCCATCCTGAAAGCAAAAACAAAACATTGAACAATTCTACTTAAACAGAACCATAACCCCTAAACCTAAAACTGCATAAACCAGTTCAATGCAATCGAACAAAAACCTAACACCAAGTAATCCTTAATCCCTAGGGTTACACCAAATAACACCTCTAGAGCAGCTAAAATCGCAACTTCATTTATTGTCGCCCCTAATGAACAAGAACAGAAAACCCCAATTGCCCCCCAAAGTCAGCCCAATCAAATCTGCCATCGCGTAAACCAAACCAACAGAGCCAACGACTAAGGAAGACACACCTGATCGGACATTAGGAAGCCATCACCAGAAGATTCGGCCGATCATCCGCCCATCCTCCGCGACGCGCGAGCGAGAGAAGGGTCGCGGAGAGAGCGAGGTTGAGGAGCGGGAGCGATTTGGTCGAGGGGTTGCACGGAACAGATGGTTCCGTTCCTTCTCTTATGGCCATAGGTACCTGACGAGCGGGCCCAAGGGCCACCGTGTCCAACTGAGCCACGTTGGCTGTCCACGTAAGCCAAACCACCCTGTAAAACCACCACAAGGTGTATTTTAACCGGTTTGCAAAATTTTAATGTGTCCATCGGATGGTTTCGTAGTTTAGAGAATTAACATGACACCATGTTACAGGTAAAGGGGTTATCTAGACTTTTTCCGATTGTAGAACAAAACCTTGTAGTGTAGTCAGTCAAAACTAGGTGATATGGTTTCTGAAACCAGATATGGTGGTTTTCTAGGGTTGTTCCCAAGAAGGGGTAAATCTCACCGTTTTCGTTGCGGTGGATAGCTAAGTTTATGAACAAACCAGCAAAGGTAACTGTCGGGTTCATAAACCCGGGGTCCCTCGCGGACCGACTTTTCAACAAAGGCTCGGCCTGAGCAGACAAACGCGCAACTCATGGGCCGGCCCAAGTACCTAAATGACAGGCCAAAGGGGCGATCGAATCTCTAACCGGGTGGCCTGGCCAAGGAGGAACAACGCCCGCTTTCCGATTCCGGCCCACCTCTCCGACTGGAGCACTCGCTTCGGTCTCCAGCCCACCTCCAGACGGCCTCTTCGACCGGAAGGCCTGGCCAAAAGCACTGCTTTCGACTCCGACCCGCGTCTCCGACCGGGGATGTGCTGAACCGGGCTGACGGCTCTTCTCCGACTGGCGCGATCAGAACCGACTGGGACTAACCGACCGGGACGCCTGCTCGAAAAGGACCAGGGAACGAACGGAGAAAAGCAAGGCAGGGCGCACAAGTCAAACCACGATACCAGGGACCGTACCCTGTACACTTGCAGAAACAGTACTCTGTAATCTCCCTGACACAACAATATTGTAGGCGCCGATATTTTTCCCTACAGTATTGTGGGCGCCGTTAACTCCCATACGGTAAGGTTCCCCTCATATGGCTCTAGTCACCGACAGTGTTGTGGGCGCCGGCATTTACCATACCGAGTGAACATGGTAAAACTCCTCACATGCCTCTGGACATCAATAGTATAGCAGGTACCGACATCTGCCATACCCAAAGAAGACAACACCACCTCCCACGTGCATCATGTATTGTGGGCGCCTACCATCATCATGTACCTGCCGGCATGGGCAACAAGGCTTAGTAGCATATGTACTCTCTCCCTCTCACTTGTAAGGCCATCGTCCCCTTCATTTATAAAAGGGGATGCACTCTCTCCCAACAAGAGAGGTTGATAGATTCAGTCAAGTCATTCTAGATTCATTAGATCGATCAAGTTCACTAGTTCACAACCACAGAACCGTCAGGTTCGAACCTCAAGCACGCGCTTGAACACTTAACTCATAACGGGGCTCCCGTCACTCTCGGCCCTTCCGACCAGAGTCCGACTAGACCTCTTGTACCCCCATCTTTCTCCCTCTCGTTTGTAACCCCACTGCAAACTTCGAGCACCTGGGCTCAGGAATAAAGTCACCGACCAACTCAAACTGGACGTAGGGCACATTGCCTGAACCAATATAAACCCTGTGTCATTGAGTGCTAGGCCACCTCCGATCACAACGTACGGCAAAACTATAAATATTTACTTGTTGGTCACTTTCTGCACCGACAGTTGGTGCCGTCCATGGGGAAGACGCTGTACGTTCCAACACTTTTTGGTCATCAAATGGCCCACTTTTCCGCCACCTTCGCCATGGCGGGCTTAGGCGATACGATTCGCTTGGGCTCACTGGAGTTTCCCGTACTCCCACCTGTTGGGATGTGGGTTCCACCCGTCTTCGAGCCGTCCCAAGCCTTTCGCTTTGAAAGCCTGGACTTCTTCGCCAACCAGCTCGGTGTACTACAATTCTACTTAAACAGAAACATAACCCCTAAACCTAAAACTGCATAAACCAGTTCAATGCAATCGAACAAAAACCTAACACAAAGTAATCCTTAATCCCCAGGGTTACACCAAATAACACCTCTAGAACAGCTAAAATCGCAACTACATTTATTATCGCCCCTAATTGTAACAACCCAAAAATCCACATACCAAAAATCACAACTACAAAATTTTTGTTTAAACCCTATGTGATGTTGAGTGACACATGTAGAAGCCAAACCCTAGTTTTGGATTAGATGTGACCCAACTAGGTTAAAATCATAAGCATAGTTTGGTTTTACGCCACATGTGTAATTAAATTCCTAAATAAATAAATCATGCATGCATCCTCAATTCCACTTGTGATTTAGATTCTTTTGCCTTATGTGATGTTTAACTAACTTACTTAATATTTATGATAAACCCTAAATAATGAATTATTTGTTGGAAGAATAAAACACCCCTATATAAAAACTTCAACTATTTTTGTATAACAAAAATAGCCAATAATCCCTAATATATGGGATGTATTTTGACCACCATTTGAAACACCTTGTGGGACCCACTACATGACTCGAAGCTCAAGTTTAAACTCTAACTAAATTTGAATCGAAACAAAAGAAAGAAAAGAGAAACAAACAAATAAAAGAGAAAGGAAAGAAGAGGGAGCAGCAGCAGCCCAGGCCTACTCGGCCTTGTGAGCCAGCACGGCCGAGCCTGCCTGCCCTCCCACTGGCGCACGTGGCCCACGAAGCCGGCCCAGCAACACCCTACCGCCCGCGCGCGCACAAGCCGCTGACGAGAAGGACCCGCCCGTCAGCCGTCACGCACCACACGTCGCCGCATCAGGACAAGCTAACAAACGGGCCCCCTCTGTCAGCCGCCCAGCTACAGCGTCATCGTCTTCCCCACGCTCCCTCCACCACGCGATCGGGAGCCGACCGCGAAGCAGGCGCGGGCCCGGGGCCACGCACATCGCATGACCCTATCCCCCACCTTAGCGCCACGCCCACGCAACCGCCCCCGCACGCGAGAGCCGTCCGATGCGCTCGGCGCATCACCAGCCGTTCTGCCATCCGCCATGGATGAGCATGGAGCTCGGCCTATAAAAGGAGGACCCCGAGCCCTAGCCCTTCATTCACCTCGCCGCCGTCGTGCAGTTCGCACCAGCACACTAAGCCGAGGGATGAGAGGAGAAGGAGAGGCGCAGAGAAGGACGCCACCGCCAGAGTAGAGGAAGGTGCCACTGTCTTCTTCCGTGAGCCGGCGCAGCACCACGCACCGCTACACGGTCGCACCGTCATCACCACACCGCCACTCTGCACCGCCAAGCACACCGCGGTGAGCACCTTGGCTGAGACCTCTCCAAGCCCATCAGGAACGCCATTGCAAGGCACGCACTCGCAACACCCCGCGGCGAGGTCACCACGGTGCGGTTACGCGCCATCGCGGCCAACACTGACCTCGCTACGAGCTTCGCCAAGCCCGCGAACACGTGATGCACCCATTTAGTGATGAGGAGAGCATGGGAGAGACCCTGACCATGGGGCACGCTAGAGCTACCCTACCACGGAACGCCGCCGCCAAGGCGCGGCCACCGCATGCGCATCTGGCCGCCTCGCTGGACTAGGAGCGGCCGTAGAGCACCGCCGTGACACCTGGATGATAGCCGTATAGACCAAGAAGCCGTTAGCCGGCCACAGCGCCTTGGCCACGTGCATCGGACCTCGAGCGGAGCTCCACCGTGCACCACCACCGCGTGCGGACTCCACCGAGCCTTATGGTCGTCGTCGACGCTACACTATGCCTCCCCGCTAACTGTCTGAAGGAAGACGGAGCACCAGGACCCCTGGAATTGCCCCTAGATGCCTCGCCGACGAGCACCGCCATGCCGACCCACCGTTCACCGTGGCCAGAGCCCTAGGAAGCCCTAGCCGTCGCCCCGACCCCACCATCACAGTCGCCATGGCATGGGGAAGCTATTGCCTACCCTAATCGAACGCTAGCGTCGCCGCGGGGGCTCGCCGGTGACCACATGTCCGTGCACTTGGTGCACGTGAACCGAACCCTAGGAAGGAGTAAGTGGACCAAGTCCTTCATAGACCGGGTCTGCGGTCTATGGACCAACGCAGGCGGGATCACCATGAACCGCGCCTCACCTACGCCCATGGACCACGGCCCGTTAGTGGCCCAGTAAGACGACGTGGCTGTGCCATAGCATGCCACGTGGCGGGCCAAGCCCGTCCCGAATCCAAGCCCGTATCCAGGCCCAGTTTGGACCCGGCCTGGTTGACCGTTGACCAGGGCCCACATGTCGGTGACACAGAGACTCTAGACCCACATGTCAGGAGGCGATGTCATGATGACGTCACGATGACGTCAGCTGCTGACGTCAGCAGCCCTGGCCCACATGTCAACCACTGTGGTACGTTGACTTGACGTTGACTTTGACCTGGCCCCACCTGTCAGTGACCGTTTGACCCCGTACCCACCTGTCCGTGACCGACCGAGAAGATGACGTCATGCTGACATCAGCGGGACCCGCCTGTCAGCCGCGGTTTAGCTCTGATGACGCCATGCTGACATCAAGCTGACGTCAGCATGCCACGTGAACCCGTCACAGTGTGACACGTGTCAGCCCTGAATTAATCAGCTTTTATTATTTTCAGAAATGGATTTAATCTTCGTAATTCATAACTAATTCATACGACCTCAGAAAAATATAAAACCAGGACCAAAATTCATCTAAAATCAAGCTCTACGCAATGAACCCATGTTTGAGTGCATTTGGCTCTTTTGAATTTTCATTGCTTCTTTATGCTATTCTATAGACATCGCTAACGCGACTATAATTCGATCGTATGCAGACTCGGAGGAGAACCAGACGGACGAGGATCGTGAGTACCATGAGAAGTGCAGGGACGACTTCACGGAAGGTGCCACATCCCACCCAACCTCGTAGCACCTATTACGCATGGCTAATATAGAACAGCTATTGCTTTACTTTATTGTTATATTCACACTATGATAGGACTTGCATGGTAGTATGCTTACTTGATGGCCTTTACCTTGACAAAACTTTTTACCTTACCCCTACTTACCCTGCTATTAGGCTGGACACACGCTTGCTGCTATATTTCATTGCTTATTACTTCTACTACGCTTGTACTACATTGATGCGTGGTGGAAACTGGTGTTATCTGGTCTATGGGGAGAGTGCTGCGTGTGTG